TGAAATATGAGTCATTTATCAAAACTATAAACAGGTTGTTGCGAGAATGATATGTATTATGTAGGATGCCAAAAAATAGAGATTCAGGACTCGGAATTAGGACAAGAGTCTTTGATTCATTGTCATTTCCACTCTTCAAACAAACATAGACAAAGAATTAAGAACAAGCATATCGTTTACAGATTGTTGCATTTAATATGCACATAACTTTGTTTTTAGAAAGTTTTTGAAAGTAATATGATTCTAGAAGAACTATACATATCAACGTCTATGATCTTCTCGATTTGACTTATTCACAAACAATAGTTACTCTTCATTATGATAAAAAAAAAACTGTTACATTAACATATCTCATCTAACATTAATAAAAGCACTAGAGAAACAAGATAGATTCCGTTGCTGTAAAATTAAGACTAACGGTGTGTCATGAAAATCTACATTTCAACTGCATTATCACTCTTACCTGCTCGTCTCATCTCATTCTCAGTCATATTGGAGTTTGAACATCGAAAACAAGAGTATTCTATTCAACATTCGTAAATAAAATATGAAATTCTTCGTATTTCTGCGATATACGAACTATATTTCTGATAATATTTGAAACGTCTTCTAGCTTGAAAAAAATATAATAAAGAACGAAAACGGTCTCAGTTACGCTTCATCATAAACTTCATCCCTATCAAGAACCATATCAGTAGAACATTAAATAGGCATTCGCAATACTTACCATTTCGAATACATCAACATTTTCAACTCATTATAACTGCTAAAAAGCGGCAATAAAACTAATAAAAACCCATAAGTTTAAAGAAATCGTAAACTAGCCATTTTTGAGATAGTTAATCATTAAAACGGCGTTATAATGAATTCTAAAAACGTTTAATCGGGATTTTGTGAGGATTTTGTCGTCCTATGGAATGGAGAATGAAAAGACTAATTCCGTATGCACTCATGATAGTAGTATATGGCATATACTCTTGTGTCGACATTATGTTATCAGTGAGTTTCATCAAGTTACTTTATATACTGTAGAGAGAACTGTTAAGTAACACTGATACTAGCCGCATCAACATCAAATTATAATACAAATTGAAAAAGCTTGCTTTGATGCATGTGAAAGTCACATTCTCTATTCAAATTTCGAAACTGTTAATATAGAGGCCATCTCATCAGAAGGTCAATCCATATGACTCATTTTAAGCGATGGGTATCGGATGTTAATGTCGAAAATGAACTTCTTATCTATTAGTTCTATCTGTACATGAAGAATGCGATATCCTTTAGACATTGGGTAGTTAATTGATTAACATTTTGCATCATCCAACAAATGGAAGTAAATATTGTATGAATTCGGAATAGAAATGAAACGAAAAGTCATAAGAAATTCAATGTCGGCGTGTGTTTTTCTATGTTGGGCTGTTCTTTGCGCTATCGCAATGAACAGTAAGGCTGCATCAGTTGCACCCGAATATTAAGACATTTTTGACTACCTTGGCATGAATGTAGGTCCGCTTAGTTCCGAAATATTTCAACGAGCTTGGCATTCTACTAAGACGGGCAACATATCTATCGGCTCATTTCATTTTCTGCTGTGACTGAAGTCTTTGCATAATAATATAGACCTATGGAGATTATATGGTTGATCGTGTACTTTCCAGAAATATTCATAACTTTTGTTTGGGCGGTGGAATAAGTGATAATACTCATTTGCTTTACAATGGGCCTGAAAGACTATCACTGGGTATTGGTGGTACTATTTTCTGGTGCTGCAGATGCTGATCAAGTAGGACTATTGTTAGACAATTTTTCAGTGACAACCATATCAGATTGGGGCTGATTTGGCAGTTGGTTTGGGCGCTAAGTGTTCCAATGGTCAGAATGGTGCATATATTGGTGTTGACGGCGGTGCCTCGTTTGTAAGATCTTTCTCTACTTTCAAGAGCCTCTTAATAACGACATCAGCAATAATTGATCTGTTCAAAATCCTCTCGTCTACATTTGATCGATTTCTCCTCGTTTACTGGCATCATCATTGTCTTCAAACAATTTTTACTACAATTTTTTCTCTTTTCTATTAAAGACTCTATTCAAAAAAGTCGCTTCGCAAAACTCTTGGTCAGGAAGTTGACAACAAAATTTTTCTGTTGACATACGACTGTACTAGATGATAGCCAAAGGTACCTAACTACGAAAATTACAGAGAGAAACTGCAGGCAAAAAATGCAAAACTCAGACTCTAGGCAATTTGAAAGTACAGATCTTTTCGCTAATCGTTCTTCATGGCATTTTTGTGTAATAAATATTTCAGAACAGTTTTTAAAACATGTTATTTTTAGACTTCTTCTAAATAGACACTTTATCTCAATCGATTTCAAGTTATAACACAAGAGAAATACCACTATCTTCTGTTTGCAGATTATCGAGGTCTACACAATTAAAGTCTACAAGTTTTGCTGTAATGTGCAAAGAGTTGTAGTGGAGAAATATCGTATCGTGTATCTGACATTAGTTCAAAGCTACTAATATTTTTGTATCGTGAACGTAAAACAACTTGGTGAGCCTTTTTGCACAGAAAAACTCAAAACAAATGTCGTTGTAATTAGAAATGAACTTCATTTTTTGATGACACTGCTGACTTCATACACGAAGTGTCTCTTAATCGTTGAGATGATGTTCTATATTTAACATAGAGACCCAAATATCAACACCCAATTCAATATTCCTTTTAGTCGTAAGAAATAAATGCTTCATGTTTTCCTTTTTGTTTTTCATTAGTTTTTACTTAGACTTGAAAAATTTTGCATCTCATTAAAGATAAGCACACAATCTATGATGCTTAAACATTTTTCATCAGGAAATGAGATGAAATGGTTTCCTTTCGACCTTGCAATAGAATCACGACATCGATGTGAGCGTTTCATTTTTATTGAGAGCTCTTCTCAAATGTCGCTCTATAGAAAGTGTGGGCATGAGTGCGTTAAGGAAACAGCTATACTCCTTTAAATTATTTACAATACGATCTTTTATCCTCTATTCAACAGTTATACTCTTCGTGTTTATGACGATAGATTATTTCTATACGACACAATTCTTTTTTTTACTCTCTTAAATTTCTATTTTTCTGTATTGTAATGAATAATTTCCGGTAACAATGTGAGATTATGTATTAAAACTAAAAAAACTGGTGAAACTTATGCATCAATACTAAAACTTTTATTTTAATCCACAAGTGTATTTAGCAGTATTAATGTGATATCCTAATAATCCGAAAATGAAGTTTAAACCTATCGCCTACTCCCGATTAGGTGGAACTAGGACTATTCGAACCGAACCCGAACCAATGAAAACTCGGTTCGATTCGGCCTCTGTTTGATAATCATATGAAACAAACGAATATTTTCTGAACAATCTCAAATTACATTCGAAAATATTCTTTTCAAGTTTTGATTCAAATTTAAACAAACAATTATTGACTTTCAGTTTTAGTTAAGCATCTAAAATCAGATAGAAAAATATCAATTTTATTTGTTTATGGCATTTCATATATTTTAAGTGTCATGCTTGTTACGATTAATTATTAGTAAAATTTCCCTTATTTCTTGGATTTGTTTCTGTTAGAACAATCTTCAATTACAAATTACCATTCGCTTTAAATGAATTTGGAAAAAATCTTCGTACAAAAATATAGATAATCAGTTTTCTTTGAAAATATATTTATAAAAACTTCTTTATAATGAACTAACACGACAATCTAAGAGTGCACTTTCCTTTCGCGACCCGAATTTTTTGTGAACATTTTATAGCTTGAAGTAGTATTTATCTACTGAGTACATTTTGAGATCTAAAAATTATCTTGAAACATTAAAAAATTCAACAAGAAATCAGATTAGTGAAACCTGTACATTGTTTTCCGTTTTCTTCAAACCAAAATTTTCCTGAAAAACCGTGTGAGAACGCCCATGTTTCTCCGGTGTAGTACGTTCGATTGAGCTACAATTTTGTTTTTCACAAATACTGTCTATTGTTCAGAGTAAGTATTTTTTCTTGTCTCAAAAAATATTGTTTTGCTGATTTTTGGTAGCTCTTACAAAAAAGCTTTATTCAAAAAAAAATATGTGTTTTTTTGGGTACCTTTGATATTTTGACTTTTTTATTCCAAGAGCAAGGCACTAACCCAAAATAGTATCTAGAACTTGTAAAACAATTTTCAGATCGGATCGAATATAGGAGGTACCCTAAAAGAGATGAGAGTCATGTGATCTAACCCGATCCGATTGTGAGTTTAGAAAGAAAGATAATAAACAAAATATTTCTTCATCATATAAAAGTGATGCGAATCGATCGAGATACAATTCATAAATGTTAATTGTAAAAAGTTTCATTTGTAATTTTTATTATATAGAATCATTGTGAAAAACACATTTTTATCATACTTTCTCTCTGTAAACAAAATTCGGTAACTATATGTACATGCTATAGAACAATAACCTATATGAATCAAGACAAGATTTTTGAGCTATCTAGTATATCCATAATAAGATTTTTCCGAGAAAGAAGGGAGTGTCATCATTATTGATGACAATTATATATCGAAAAAAAAATGCAAGATATATTGCATTCTCATTCAAATCTTTCTTCTAAAGTTAACTATAATGTAAAAAACTATTTAAACGATCTACACGTGTACTCATGACTATGATAAATGTGCTTAGCTTTCAATATCAGCGAGAGGAAAAGAGAAGTGAATGTATATTCATAGACAGATCATTCCAATGAAATATCACTTCTGTTTTCTCACTGTACCATATTTATTGTAGTAGTTAATATACATCTATATATAGTGTATACTCGTATTTGTCGAAGTAAATTCTTCTTTTTAGTTTCCTAATTATTATCTTGTAAAACATGTCAAGTAACCAAGGTCATCTCTCATTGAATCAAGCAGGACAGACTACAGGTTCTCGTGGGTAATATAAAACATTTTTTTTAGATTATGATATATGAAATTAAATTACTTTCGATTGTTTAGTGGTGATGCAGAAGAAAATAATCAATCAATAAGCGGATCAAGTAGCAGCTCAAATACTTCAAAACAAAGTAAAGATGATTCAGGTGCACATGCTGGTAGTGGCTCATCGGGCTCATCTGATCCTGATGGAAGTGGTACACATGTTTCAGGCAATCTAAGTAAAAATCCTTAATCATATATAGACAAACCTTGTTCGCCGTTTTAACTATTCCTAGTAGTTTGCATGTACTCATTCCCTAAAATAATACGTATTATCTAACCTTACAATGAATAATAATTCATCTAAAAAATAGCTTATTTCTTTAAGACAATAAAATTTAATATATAATGAAATCAATATATTTCTTTACATCTTCCGCATATCTTATTGTGCCTGTAAAAAATTGTTTGCATATATATAAAATATATAATTAACATAGTTAGAGACTTCTTCGAATCTGACAATTGCATTTCTTATATCAGTTATGACGACGAAAGACAAACTACTCAGGGTATAACAAAAGTAATGAGAGTAGAGTTATAATATTTAACAGAAAACTCCAGAAAATCATCTATGCATATAACGGATCATCCATAATAAATGGTTGCATTTTACATATTCTCTTGCATAAGTATCGGGACCATTTTTTAAAATCTGTAGCGTCTTTAAATGTTACTGAATATCGACGATATTTTTTTGGAAGACCAGCGTTTAAGCTATCATTCAAGAGAAATTAGACTCAATTTGTATCAATCCTAAGAAAGTGCTGCATTTAATAAAAATATTGAACAATTTTATGGAGTTTTTTAAAAATCTGTCGCTACCAGAATTAGCAAAAATTACAGCTACACTCTCATTCATATATTGGAGACAACAGTATCGTAATGTTGTGCTCGAAATAGAGGAACAGAAGCTTAGAGACTATGTGTTTAGACTATGACCGTGATCTGAAAAGTTTTAATCGAATTTTTTTGACACGAGAGAAACGTATATTGAAATTTTCTCTCACATAGTAGCATGCTGTAACAATAGAATGACAACATTATCTTTTATAAGAATCATTTCAAAATAGATGTCTTTTTCTCCGAAGGTAGTATTAATGAAAACTATGGATGTATTCAAAACAAAATTTTTTTTTGATATTTGACGAGCGTGTAATCCCATGAGATGATTTTTTTCTTCCTATCTCATCCCCACAGAATCCTGATAATTATATTCTTATCTTAACGTATAACGATCAGATTAATTCACTTGTGATACTTTAACATTTTCGACGCTGATTTCCATTACAATGTCTGTCATATTTTAAAATATTGATATAAAAGGCATAAAAAAAATTGAAAAAAATGTTTCAATATTTTTATTAAGGCAGTACTTTCTTATGATTGGTGCATTCTGAGTGTAATTCCTCTTGGATCATAGCTTAGACACTGACCTTCAAAAATATATCGTCAATGTCTATACACTGTGATTGTGAAGTACGGTGCAGATAAGAAATAATCGAAATGGAGCCGATGGAGCAACAAAAATTATTCGTTTTCCGAAAAGACGTCTTCAATAAAGTTGACCGCGACACTCGATATCGACGAAACCTTCAGAGAACATTCTTCTATATCTGGAACATGTACTTAACTAGCGCAAAGATTCTCAAATCCTTTCACACTGAGATATAGGTTTTCTAAAATTCCTTGGTTTTTAAAAATTTTTCTCATTTTCTTTGTCATAGAAGAACTTTGAGAAAAATATAAAGATATATTTGGAATTAGCGCGAAAAACTGCATTGAGTAATGCACCATTAGTCATTTTTTAATATAATTTTTCTTTCACAAAAATTTAAAGAAAGGGTTCTCTTCAACGATTTTTCATCACAAATGACGTTTTTTTTTCAAATTTCATCTTTACTCATCAATCCAATGGCTAATATTCCTATGAAAAAAAATCTTTTTTAGACAAAAAATAAGACATTTTCATTTGTTCGATAGAAATTGCCTATCAGGTAACTCTCGCTGTACAGTACAAATGTTCTTGTAGAAGCGATAGTTTTCCTTAACCATTTAAATTAGAGATGATCAACTTTGATCAGCATTCTTATAGTTATCATATCAATTGAAGAATAGTATATTGCTACAGTCACAAAGTTTAGTGTATTCGATGTATTTGATATCTGGTAGTTCATATAGACATAAATCTGAGATTCAGATGAACATTAGCTCAGCTATGAACTGTGAAAGTAATCGATATTCAGTGAACAAATTGTCAATGACAAAGTTGTCCAGTAGAGGAAGCTTAAACTTTTGTAACACAAAAAAACATCAAACATACATTGATACTAAGCGACCTCTAAGATCAATCAATTATACTCCGATACATAGTTACGATTAATGTTCAACGTTTTTTTTTGGTATAGAAACAGTTTTTCTCAAAAATGTAGACATATATACTAGATTTGAATTCAAAATTCAAAGGATAGATGGCGTAATTTTTTTCAAATTCTTAATATTTGTTTGTCTCTAAATTACGTTTTATTCTTGATAAATAATAAAGAAAAATATTAATGCTAAATTTATAGACAGATCCTTGGATCGGTAAACAGCATATGAGTACGTTGGCAATAAAAATTGAAATACGAGTAATGGAACTCATGAAGCATAACGGCCGATTAATACAATATAGTAGGTACATATGCAAATTATGTTGATTTAAACGAATCAGTTTTTATTCGGAAGGCCTATCGATATCCTTCTATTCATTTATTTCGTGCATTTTCAATTGAAAACTGCGTACTAATAAAGGAGAAAAGGCTCATTTTTAATCCACATTGAAGTATAAGATGTAGTATAGGTTTTTTTTCGTTCTCATAGTTGAAACAAAACTCGGTTGATTGAGTTTGCATTTTGGCCAATGCGATTTTTTGTTGTTCTTTGGATGTGTATTCGATTTTTCGTAGTAAATCGCGAAATACTTATTTGCTAGTTAAATCACAATCGTGAGTATTCATATATATATATTGATTCAATGACTTAAATAACCCTTAATAATAAAGCACTTTTTTTCCTTTTTATATTAGACATTATGTATTGTTTTCATTTTGTCTGAGACCAAACAAATGAAACTTTCATACAGGCTGAGATTTTTATTTTAGATTCAAGCATATCCTACGAATAACAATGATGTAATTAACATAATTATTCACATATTCTTCATTTTTCTCCTCAATAATGTTCCGGTTAAAAATTTTTTCCATCATTCAGTTATTCTTTTTAATTGAAACAACGAAATTAACTTCCATTTCTTGGAAATCTATTGTCATTCAAGTTAAAGGTGATTGTCAAACAATTGGTGATAAAATTGCTCAAGAACATGGATATCGTTATGTTCGACAGGTTTTTATCATGCAATTTAAAAGAAAAACAAATATAATAAATTATATTCTTTTAGATTTGTGACGGGTTTTGTGAATTAGAAGAAGATCCATCATCTGAAAATCATATACGACATCGAAGAGCCATCGAAAATGGTATTGATCCAGCTCAAATCCTTCTTAATCATGAACTTGTATATAATTAATGAAATTTTTTTTTTCATAAATTTTAATATTCTATGATTTTAATTTAGGTTGAATGGGCTGAAAGTCAAATACCGAAAATACGACGAAAACGTGAATTTGTTTTTAATGATCCTGAATGGAATAATATGTGGTATTTGGTAAGACTAAATTTTATTTCATGTAATGATTAGTTCTTTTATCTGTTTTTTTTTTGTCTAGGGGCGACATTTACAAAAACCAAATTTACCTGATTTAAATGTAACTGGTGCTTGGCAAATGGGTTATACAGGACGAGGACGAGTTGTAACTTTTCTTGACGATGGTTTAGAATTTGATCATCCAGATTTACATGAAAACTATGTTCGTTTATCTTTAAATTTTATTTTAAAACTGAAAGTATTTTTTTCTTTTCGACAGGATAAAGAAGCTAGTACAGATATTAATGATAATGATGATGATCCAACACCACGCTATGAACCAACCAACGAAAATAGGTATTAAGATGATTTTTAAATGAATTTCCGCAGAAAAATTCTTTTGTTTTTTTGTTTCTTAGACATGGAACTCGATGTGCTGGTGAAGTGTCATCAAAAGCTAATAATCAAGTATGTGGAGTTGGAATTGCTTACCATGCTAGAGTGGGAGGTATTCGAATGTTAGATGGTGAAGTAACAGATAGCGTTGAAGCACGATCAATTAGTCATCGTCCTGATCATGTTGATATTTATTCTGCTAGTTGGTAAATGAAATCTTTCTTTTCTTGTAGAATTCTTTTCATTTATGTAATGATTATACCGATTTAGGGGACCAGATGACAATGGTCTTGTTGTTGATGGGCCTGGTTTATTAGCTAAAAAAGCTTTTGAAAATGGCGCTCTACATGTAAGTGAATTAAAATATTATACAGGCTGTTCCGAGAGTTAAAAGAAAAACAGAAACGCGAATGTTTCTTTAATAGTTAAAGGAATTGACTTGAATTTCTTATAATTTTATTGGAGACTCCTTTGCATTTTACTCAGTATATTTTAAACAAAATGCATATGTTTATCAATATTAGAATTCTAATAGTTTCATCACTGGTTGAATTTAAGTTACCTCTGTTTATTAGATGTATGCAAGGGAAAATTCAAGTGAGAAATTTTTTTATACACTGTTCACTAGAACTTGGTCTGCAGATCAAGAAAGAGTATTTGTTAGATTTTGTAAATAGATTTTTCAGATCGAGAGAAACCAAAAACTGAGAAGAAATCGTTTTTTGTTGAACTTCTGTAACCTATTTTCAAATTCAACGTCAAAAACTGAGCACAAAATCGCTATTAACTCTAACCTGATCCCAGAAGTCTGTTAATGATGGTAATCCAAATTGATTTCATTCGCATATTTCTCTAACACTTTGTAAACCTATTTAGGTTTTTTGTGTAAGTGAACTCTTTTTTCTTTGTCCAGAAAAACCATTTTCGCTAAATTTTGAGCAAAATTGCTGACACTGTCCGTATTTTTCCATAAAAATAAAATTTCCGTGCAACAAGAATATTATATTCGAAATTAGAATAAGAAACTAGATCTACTGCTATATACTTCTATCGTTTCCATCAACTTCAGTTTTCACCTGAAGAACTGCTAAAATTCTCACCAAAAAATCAAAGGTAGCTAAAGTTTTCGCAACATACATCAGTCGATCCAACTTTAAACAATGATTCCAAATATAACAACCGTATTCTGTGGAAGCTTAGTTGTGATGAAGTAGTATGGGCAGAACTCTAGGTATTTCGTTCAAAATTCAGCAAAAATGATTTTTTTCGACAAAGAAAAAAGAGTGATACATAATTTTATAAGTGTGCAACATTAAACTAAATGAGACAAAATCTTTGGTTTTATTACTTACACAGAAAAACTAGATAGATTTACGAAAACATCCCATAAATATGTGAACTGAACCAATTTGGATAGAGCATAAATAAAATTCTTCGAAGCAAAATTTTAAGTGGCGTCTAGCAAAATTATGGCAGTTTCGTATCAATTAGTTGAACTGTTAATGAAATATTCTTGTTTCTATTTTGTTCATAATTTTGAAACACTCAGTATGTTTATTCTTTTAATGAATTCTAGGGTCGAGGTGGAAAAGGATCAATATTTGTTTGGGCCAGTGGTAATGGTGGTCGTTCATCAGATTCATGTGCTTGTGATGGTTATATAACTTCTATTTATACAGTATGATAACTTACTTTGAATAATAAGTGATCAAAAAGTTTTTAGATTAGATGTTTATTCACTTTGACCCGCTAAAAAATATTTTCGACGAGTCAAAAGCTATGAGTTAGAATGCTCTTTTCAAATATGGGCTTACAAATTTTGTTCGAAAGTAGTAAAATAATCTAAATAGATTTTTTGTTTGTCCTATAAGTCCCTTTTCAAACATGCTGAAAATTGTTAGAGTCACTCATTTTGTAGAGCAGACAGTTCTCTACGAAACGTAACATTGAACGAAGCTGTAGCTTTTACTCAAATATTTTTTCAATAACTTCTTTCAATGTTAAGTGGTCGTCGATTTTTCAAAAATGAATATATAGGAAAAACAAAAATTATGTACGTTGTCGAAAGATAAAAATACGTTTTTGTTTAGATTGCTGTTAGTTCTGTAACAGAATCAGGAAATGTACCTTGGTATCTTGAAGAATGTTCAGCTACTCTTGCTACAGCATATAGCAGTGGACTAGGAACTAACGAAGATCATGAAATAGTATGTTATAAATATTTACTATTGTTTTTTAGGTATTATTTCTGTTGTTTTTTTTTTATTTAAAAAGATTACTACCGATTTACATCATTCTTGTACAAGTCATCATACAGGAACCTCAGCAGCAGCACCATTAGCTGCAGCTATTTATGCTCTTGTTCTTGAAGCCAAGTACTTACTTACTTTCATTTTTTGTTCTGTTGTTTATTCTAAATGAAGTCTGATTTTCTTTTTATCTAGTCCTGATTTAACTTGGCGTGATATTATGTATATAACAGTTCTTGGCGCTCGTTCAAATGCTATTCCATCAAATAAAGAACTTATTCGAAATGCAGCTGGAATGAATGGTAAAATTATTTTCTTTTTCTTCTTCATTTATAAGACTTAGTTTTTTTTGTTTCTAGTAAGTAGTAAATATGGTTTTGGTCTTATGGATGCTGGTCTAATGACATGGTATGCAAGTGGTTGGAAAAATGTTCCAGCTATGTCAACATGCGAATCGATGACTTATAAGCCGGAAAAGACTATAAACTCTAAATCTAATGAAACTTTTTCTGTTAATTTAACGGAATGTCAAAATAGTGGTGATATAAAAAGTCAAGTAAATTATATTGAACAAGTACAATTATTTGTAAATTTAACGACTACTAATCGAGGAGAAATAGAAATCTTTCTTTATTCGCCATCAAATACAGAAACACAACTTTTACCAGTAAGAATTAAGGTTTATTTTAATTAAATTGATATTAACATACTTAATTTAGAAACGAGCTAATGATCATAGTGATCAAGGTTTTAGCAATTGGGCTTTTTTAACAGTGCAGCTATGGTTTGAAAATCCTTATGGAAAATGGAACTTGAAAATACGTAATACGGGTGGAGGATCAGGTAAAAAACGATGAATATATTAATGAAGTTGAAGGAAAAAAGAGCATCTTTTATATCAACTATTACTACGTATGTAAAACTACGTGAGAGAAAAGAAGAATGGTGTAGTAGCCACTATTCAAAATGTTACTTTCAATCATTTTTAATAGTATTAAACAGAAATGAAAAGAAAACATAGAAAGATGTGTAAGTCCTTTTGCATTAGAAACCTATTCGAATGAAAAAGGAAGCTGACGAGAGAGTCTTTCCGATTTGAAGGTTGCTTTTGAGTTTGGACTCTATGGATAAGATAGACCGCAATGAAATATTAAAAACTCCAAAATAATAACGTTCCCTAGATATTTCTTGCAGAGTTATAGACGTTTTAATGATAATTTCAACTCAAAAGAATATTCCTTTCATGAGATATTAAATTCTATCCCTCTCCCTCCCTCCCGCCCACCCCTAAAAAAAGAGATTCTCGAATCTTATGTTGAATATGAATGATTTTTGTAAATTCAATATTTCGTGCAGGACGCATTTTTTTTAACTGAAGTTTTTAGCGCATTCTACATACAGATAAGCCTATCTGTGGGCAAAATTTCAGCGAAACGACTGTAACTATATAGTGAAGACTTAGCTATTCTTATCATTTTGAGATTTTTAATATCTTATTGGGGTCTACCTAATGCAAATAATATAAACTCAAAAGTAATTTTCAAGTTAGGAATGTTCCTTTGTGAACACAAAACAAAGTTTCACTTTATAGAAACAATTTATTGACTTTCATAATATTGGTGACTTTTTTTAAATCAACAACTTTCTTTGTCTTTCTAGCTGAGTTATTATCGTGGCGACTTGTCGTTCATGGTACACGTGATTATCCAATATTACCTCGTACGTCATCTGAAACTAATCAATCTAATGTAAGTAATCATCCATGGTTATTCTTTTTTTCTTCTACTTCCTCTATTTATTCATATTTTTATATTACGATATTTGTTCTATTAGTTTTTAATTGTTACAGTTAAATTTGTTTTAAACAATGTAATAGTAATTTATTTTCTACATATCCCTTTTGTTAATATATTAATTTTAGTTATATATGCATAGTAAGCGTTTGCATTTTGTTCAGTAGCCATGACAATATCATTATTCTTGTACTTCTTCGTAATAGAAAATTCCTTGCTTTTATCGTACTGTATATTTCATTGTTGAACAGAAATCATCTTCTATCAATTCTCAGTATACGTGATCTTTTCCTTCTATAGATTTTTTTTTTCTTTCGTTACTATTTTTTCTACTTTAAATAAAGTTTATAGTCGCTTGTGATTTAGCTTTCAGCTAAAAAGCTGACACAAAAATATTGTTGGTTATTATTGAGAAAACGATACCAGGTAAAAAGAAAGCTCAATGTTAAGAGTACCACCAGCCAACTTGTTGTCGTATTTTGTATTCATGGAATTGTTAGATAGAATTTTTGTACATCATAAAACAACGCGAATAATAATAATATATGTTAAGTAAAGTAATGTAATTAGATTAATGCTTATCTTCTATTTTGCTCTTTCAATTATTTGAAAATCGCCTAGATATTTTTCTATGTACTCTTTAAGATTTATTATATGGGTTGCTTGAAACATTTTATTAAGACTATTATTTCTATTGTGTGTATATTTTAGTGTCATGTCGAATGTAATCCTAAAGAACCATGTGGCAACAATGATACTAGTTGTACAACGTGTCGACATTATAAACAATCATTAACGAATGGAAAATTGTGAGTGAATATTTAAAGAAATTTTTCTATCTTAATTATGTCTTTTTGTTTCAATGGTTTCTTTTATTTAGTCGTTGTGTAGGTATATGTCCTGAAGGTACCTATTCATCTGTAAAAGACAAATTGTGTTTACCTTGTCATTCACGATGTGGCTCATGTCGTAATGCTAGTGAAAATAGCTGTGTCACTTGTAAACTTGGTTTCTTTCTTATACATGATGCAACAATTTGTGCTGAGTCGTGTCCTACTAATTATTATACTGGTAAAGCAAAGCATTCAATAAAAATTTTTAAAAATATTTAATTTTTTTCATTACTAAGACCGTAATCTTCGAAAATGTGTTCGTTGTAAATCTGATTGTGCATCATGTGAAACAAGTTCTTATATATGTACATCATGTCCGAATGATTATGCTCTTAAAGATACAGATTGTGTAAAAGCAGCAAAACCATGTAACTCTAGTGAATATTTTGATTTTACTACAAATAAGTAAATCTATATTTATTTTACAAAAATTTTCATATTAAATGATAATTTACTCTTATTTTTAGTTGTCGATGGTGCGATTCTCGATGTTTAACTTGTAGTGGACCTGAATCTCATCAATGTAATTCATGTGATAAAATAAGCAAATTTCCTAATCTTCAATATCATACATGTGTTTCATCATGTTCACCAGGATTTTATCTTTCAAAAAATACTTCAGAATGTCTTTCATGTCATGAAACGTGTCTCAATTGTACATCATCAAGTGAATCATCATGTTTAGCATGTAAAATAGGTTATGATTATTTTCCTGATACACATCGTTGTGAAAAACATATTGGTAAACCATATTATATTGATAGTAAAACAGGTGAAATGCGTACATGTCATTCATCATGTGCACAATGTAAAGGACCAAATCCAAATGATTGCATGGCTTGTAATCCAATAACAGAAGTACTTCTTGTTGATGGACATTGTGTTAATGAATGTCCAGCAGGTTCCTATGAAACTGAAAAGAAAACAAATGAAATTCAAACAAATATTTGTTTACCATGTCCAACTGGATGTAAACGGTGTACTAATTTAAATGATTGCAGTGAATGCGATGCAGTGCAAGGGTATTATATAAAGGGCCGACAATGTGTACCATCATGTGAATCAGGGTAACATGAAATATTGATAATAAGCGATGTAAAAGTCTTGGGAAAAATGCTGAGCTGCACAGCTCAGCCATTGTAAGCGATGAAAAACTAAGTTTTTTTTTTATTAGAAAAATCATGAGAAGTCCTACAAAAAAAACTGTATTCAGAGAATTAAATACAGTTCATCTAACCACATAGCTCGAAGCTTCTTTCGAACACCGTCCATCATAGTTTGCTATAATTATTGATTAAGTTTTTTTGACTTTTGTTTGGTTCTTCGAACCAAATGATCAACATTTTTCACTTCCCAACCCGAGTTAATCATTACGGATCACTGTCAATTACCGTAAAAATATCGTATACGGACCGTATTCTTCTACCATAGAAATTGTTTTCATACATTTTTCGTTCAAGTAGAGTTCATGCAACGTCAATTCGAAGAGCTTGAGATACGCTTAGTGCATTGTCAGTACGACAAATGAATGGTATGTTTTTCTCACTCAAACATTCTTGAACAATATTTGAGTAATGTGTCCTTGCTAAATCATGCTAGAACAGATAATTTCTATTCCAATGATATTTATCAATAAAAAACAACAGTGTTTTATTAATCCACTCAGTTGAATATGTTGTCGTCGATCGGTTGTTGACTTTTGTGAATATAGTCAGTCAAATCATTTTTTTAAATTCAAAATTCGCTTTCTTTTGAAACTTGATGTTTGCAGGAGTTGTAGTCAGATTAGATGTATAAAAATATCAATTTTTGATGACGTTGTATCCGGTCAATATGAAGTCTTTTTTCATCGTCCATAATTCAATCATAACCATTTAACAATTTTCGACACAGTTTACCACAATTTCTTTTTTGTATCTGAATTTGTTACTGTTCACTAGCAAATTGTGGAGGTTGTCGATGTTTTCTTATGGCAGCTAATATTTGTCTACAGAGATTACATGAAATTGTTGACTGATGTTCTCAAAACTGTTGTGCTATTGTACGTTGACTTGAATCGCAACAATTGTTCAAAGATTTAACAATATCATTAGAATTGTTGTTCGATAATTTGATCGCACTATCTGTTTGAGACTAATCCTTTACAGTTACACATTTTAAATACTTTTTTCATACATAATATATCGTACTTTGCGGAACGTTTTGATTTAAAAAATAAGGTACTGTAGTTTTTATAGAATTATTAAAAGAATCCTAGTAGAAGTTGTAAACACGTTGTGCCAGTGCTTGTTTTTTGTCAGGTGTCACTTTTTTTATTCAATGTAAAGTAACAATTTATTATACAAAATTGAAAAGAGAAGTAAACCAGCTATCGATTAATAACAAAATGTTCATACGAACATGTATTCATCAGTCTGAAATAGCGCTAAACATTCTGTCAAAGACTTTGCATCGCCTTTTAAAAGCATATTAGCTTTACTTTATTATTTTAATTTATTTTATAGTTCTTTTCTATTGGATACTCATTGTCAATCATGTCAAGATCCATGTGTGGCATGTACGAATTTAACAAGTTGTTTAACATGTAAAGATAAATTAAATTTATTAAATGATCAATGTGTTGATAAATGTCCAGATGGTTATTATTCAAGTAATAAACAATGTCTTCAATGTAATGCTATTTGTAGTACTTGTACAGGTATAAATAGATTTTTTTGTGGTAAGAAAAATATGTATGTCTCTTTTTTTGTGTTAAGGACCATGGGAATATGACTGTCACTCATGTGCGGATGGTTTTCGTTTTGATGAACAAGAAAAACAATGTTTGAGTTTATGTCCAAATGGAAATTTTTATAGTAAAGATGATAAGGTAAGTAACTAACAAAGCGAAATAATTTTGATTTCTTTTTCTAATGTTTATCAAATGATGGATTCGAAGTGAAAGTTTATATTGAAATCGAGTCTAAATTTTCTTCTGATGTCTTCATAAAAAAAATAACCATAAGATGAACGAAGAAACGATAGCATTACAATCTTTGTAGGAAATATTCGAGAGATTCCTAGATTATACAGCAGTAATGGATAAGACTGTTAGTTGACTTTTCTCTGCTCCTTGCTCTATTTCTCTCCTCTATTATACCATCACAGCTGAGTGACTGCATTGTTTGATACATATCTACAAGATACTGCGTGCAAATCTCAGTATCATCAGCCATGAAATGACCTTGAACAAGTCACTAACACCTATTTGTCTCAGATCATCCATTCGATGGTGTGTTAACCACTTTGCGACATTCGTCTACCCTTACAATTAGTTAGTGTGTGTGAGAACCTCAAGTAATTGAACACAATAACTCTGCATCAGGCTGGTCTTCTATCTAGAACTGCAGCTAGGCGTTTTTGTAGGAAAGATATCGGCCTATTGGATCTGCTTGTAGGCAGCATCCTATACCACAAAGTATCTGAGAGATATTTATACTCTTCCTTCCTGCTTGTCCGTATTGTGATATGGAAGAAGTATTGATAGTTCAGAGTTTCTCAGAAACATTTTGTTTCAATGAGTAAAGAAAAAATTTATGCAGTATCTCATCCGTCAATTTAAAAGTAATGTAACGTAACATAAAATGTAAAGTTACCAAACAAATAGTTCCTCGTTTTTCTTCTTCTTTTCACCACACTTTCTGTTGTTTTCTTTCTCTCTTATTTTTCATCATAATTTTTCCAACATTTTCACTAATAGGATCTACGAGATTACAGTGACAGCAAAAATTTTTTTAATTATATACAGAAAGTCAAAAATAAGGAAGATGAGAGATGTTCATAAATGTTAAAATTCATTGATGGTTCAAGAATGAGAGGCGACAATATCTGCTTTTGTAGAAAATACGTTAAACGATGCATAAAAAGTTCTTTTTTTCATATGTAAAACTAGTGGCGATGCCATAGGTATTTGAACCCCCGTTCTAGAATTGAAACGGTTTATCCTTAAAATTGGAAACGTATATCCTTCTTTCAGCTTTACACGAAGACTCAGTCTCCTCCCTTCTTCCTCTACCACTATTTAAAACTCGCTATTGTTATTGGATATCGAATATCTAAAAAAGCTTTAACAACTGAATAGATTTGTATTATAGTCTTTTTCCATGATCAGTCATAAGGAATAAAATTGTTTATGAGAAAAAAAGTTTGGTAAAACATTCGAAATCTTCTTAAAATACAAATTTTATTCTCAAATATTTACTGAACAGCCCGATGATATCTGGAGACTACAACTAAAGGAACAGTCAGAAATGACCTTATGTCTGATATTTCTTTTTGTTGCATACGTGTAAAATGTTGCAAAAATGACAATCAGATCAGCAATCTGACTCCTACAGTGTATTCATGTTTGATATCTCCACTAACTTAGATAATAAGGAGAAAAGCTTCTTCCAATTGATTAATCGCTCTTAAGTCAAGACAATGGACCTCGTGTAGACCTGTAGCTTATTACTAACGAGATACTGCATTCTTAGGATATTTTTTAGTTCATGTCGTACCCTCTTCAAAAACAGTAGAAAAACTCATTTTCAAATTTCAACTTGAAACTAGTCTTACTGAGAATAGTTTGTGAATGTCTCAGATCAATTCGTTATTTCTATCCTAAGATACCATTATGATAAAAGCATGTCTTTTACACTGCTCATATACGTCAGCAGATTTGATGTTCATATTTCAGGAAAGAAGCTAATCAAAAGACTTGAAACTTTCACAATAAAATATTCTTGTTAAAATCTGTCTCTGTGCAAAATTTGAAATCGAAATTTTGAAACGAATTTTTCTAGTGTTTCTAAGAAACACCATAGCATTGTCCAGTCAAATTGCAATATTTCTGCAACTATTAGCTCAGAGCCTAAACTATTTAGAAGGTAATCATAACTCATTTATATAGTTGGGACTTCAAAGCGGTTAACCAGTTGAAGAACTTCCTTCGTAAGATATGCGTTTTACGATAACCATTAAAAATATGAAAAGATTTATATCAAAATTCTTATTATTTACTAAACAAAAATAAAAAACAAAGATTCTTTCTTAAAGGTATGCAAATTATGTACAGACAATTGTCTTGAATGTTTTAATCCTGGCTCATATTGTCGACAATGTTCCTATCCAATGTCACTTAACATTGCCACTCATAAATGTTTATCTTGTTGTACATCAAACGTAACCACTGATGATTGTTGTCAATGTCCATCAATATGGGATGGTAAGAAAAAAGATTTCATTCATTTATCTTTTTAAATTTCTTTTTAAGGTTTTTGTCTTCATCCACTTGTATCTCCACTAAAATCTTCCAGTTGGTGGTATAAATATCCAATAGATCAAATTCGTGATAAATTTTCTCAATTAGATAGTTCTCATCAAACCATTGTTTTGATTACATTATTTCTTATTATAATACTTTTAAGTATTAGTTTCATAGTATTTATTTTACGACAATTTAATTTCTTTCATTCTTATTCCAAACCGACGACCAATCATCAAAATATTAATGTTGAATATGTTGTATTAGAAAATCTTGATGATGATCAAATAAGTAATCAAAATTGATTTAGTGAATCATGCCTATTCCAATAAATCGAACAAACTTTAATTTCTTGTTTTTTTTTTTTTTATTCTTGTTAATTTGAATTCATTTGTTCTTTTTTACTGATCTCAACAGTGATTTTGTTTTATTTTAATTAATTTAAATTTTTTTTTTCCTGTGAACAATGTCTTTCATTTAAATAAAACGATAAAACGAAATAAAATTTTTATAAAAACTAAAGAATAAAAAAAACAACATGAGATTTTTTTTTATATTGATAAATTTATGTAATTATTCTTCTATTTCTATTAGTTATTTATTTCTATGATGATAATAAACGTTCATAACTTTCTTTTCATAGATAAAACCTCTATTGATTTTAATTCACCAATCATAATTAAATAAAGATGACACTTGTTGTTTTACTTTAGGTTCTTTGTTTTAATCAGTAAATGTATATATTGAACTTGGAAAATTTGTTTTTCTTTTTGAATTCGATAAACAAATGAATAATTCAATTGATCGTCAAGGTATTCTTGATAATTTAACAGCAATTGAAACAACTGCTAAATTACTTGTTAATGCTTTTGTAAAGAAAAATAATGATACAGAATTATCTTTAAATGGTATACATCGAGAAGAATTAGTTACTCAAACAACAACATTCTTATCACAAGCACAAAAATTAATTCTTAATCTTTCAAATACATTCAATTTATCAACAGATGGCTTTTTTCAAAGTAAAAATATTCGACATTTAAAAACAAAAATTTTAAAATATTTAATACCTGTTTGTTTTGTTTCTTTGTTTATTATAGAATCACCTAAAGACAATCTAACAGAAGCAAGTGACCAACTTACGTCAACGTCATTGATATCAGATGTATCACAAAATAATGAAGATGAAAAGTAAGGTGAAAATATTTTCTAATTAATTCCATATAAAATTGTAAAACAAATTAAATCGATCTCAAAAATTTTATTTCTGCATCCAATTTTCGTTTAGTTTCGAAGAAATAATAATAACGAAAGTCTATATTATTCGCATGACTATGATTTTTATTTTATAATCTCAATAATGAATATACTGCTCTATTCTGATTTTGTATGTAATCAAATAACAAGAGAAGCAATAAGAGACTTAACGATTTTCAAATTGAAAATATTCTGTCGAATATCTCATTTCTGAGTATTTTTCATTAGATAAATTCTATGGCACTGAGAATTTAAGAAATCGTTATTTTTCAATCATTTTTATAATATTTCTTTATGTAAAATCAACTTAGAAATAATTTATCATTTGTTAGCTCGATGCATAGCCAAATCGTTGAAGCATTTCTTTGCTTTTTTTAAAGCTTGAATTTGATTTGAAAAACTTCAGATAATGTTCTATTATCTATATTTGTTTTTTTTTTATTTAGAACTGATTCGAAAAGTTTATCATCTAAAAAAATTTATTCATTATCATCAGTTACATTGGATGACATTATTCAAAATCGATTAACACCAAAACATCTTCTACCTAATTATCCACTTCTTCATGATTCAATTCAACCAAATCTTATTTCACTTATTCGTAGTCTTCGTTCAATAGAAAATTTTGATAATCTTATGCTTAAAGCTTATTCAAAAATCTTTAATCAAGAAGAACGAATTTGTTGTAATTATGATGGAATTAATGGAAAATTATCATATCCTCGACATAAACGTCTTTTACTTGATTTCATTATTAAACTTATACTTAATGAACGCAATAAAATTCTTGATGATAATGAACGTCATTATTTATATACACAATGTGAAAAACATTTTTCAACAGATACATCTTTAACAAAATATCGTGGATTAAATATTGATCATCTTAATAAAAATAATCGTTCAAATGATGAAAAACAATTTATTTGCTCACTTTTTCGTCTTATTATACCAAAAGATGATATTAAACGTATTGTTTCAGCTAAACAAGATTTATCATCGGAATGGAATGATAATGAAATATGTATTTATTATGCACGTCCAATTCATTTATTATGGATAAAACAAAAATGGCTTGAACGATATCCATCAAATAAAAAAAATGAAGCAGAAAAATGGTCTCAATGTATTGATTGGGCTATTGATTCTTTCCTAGACACAACAAAAGTATGTTTGAACAATGAAAAGAATAGCTTA